GCCCCCCAGCCAAAGACTTCTGCAGAGGCAATTCAGGAAAGCTGGCTAGGGCATGGGATTTTTGAAGCCAGCCCACCCTGGGCTCAAACCCCAGCTTGGCCACATCCTAGCTGTGTGATTGTAGGCCTAGTTAATCTGTGCCTCTCTGATCATCTATAAAATGCGATGACACCAGCTACCTCCCAGAGTCATTGCTAGGATCAAATGAATTAATGAAAGTTAATGTATTCAGAATGGTGCCTGGCACAGAGCAATAATTCAACTCAATAAGCTCCAGCTGTTAATACTGGTTCTCATTACTAGCTACTCCACCCATGGGAAGGCAGGGAACTGGTTCTGGTCACAAGGGCTCTGAGATTCACACTCCTGGCTTTACTGGCCAGCTCAGGGACGTTCCCTCCTCACAATAATATAAAATGTAGGACATCTCATAGTGGTTCACACTCTACCTTCCCTCCCACGCATTGCCTTTTAAACTTTGGACACCCCCATGGCAGGTGGAGCCCATTTCCCAGGTGTAGAAACTGAGGGCTAGAGAGGGGAAATGACCTGCCAGCTTGAAGCAGAGAGGATGGGGAGAGGCCAAAAACAATGGGCATGATAATAATAGTCCGTCCCTCACAGGCCTGTTGTAAAAGTGTTGCAAAGACTGAGTTGGTGCATATAGCAAGCTCTACAGAAGGGTTGCCTATTATTTCTCTCCATAACCCCTATTTCACTCCCAGTCAAGGAGTGTCTACTGCCTTGGGATTCATATCAGGGTAAGGTGATCCCCCAGCCCAAGGGCAGAGGGAATCCCACAGCAACAAAAAAAAAAGGAAAAAAGGGGATTCCCTGGCTATCCAGTCGTTTGGTCTCCATGCTTTCACTAAGATCCCGCAAACCGCGTGGTGTGTCCAGGGAAAGAAAAATAAAAGCCTTCAAAGGAAAGAAGAACTAATGATGGGGCATGGGGCATCCAGACGAGCTGTGAAGGAGGCATGGGGGATGCAGGAGCTCAGCCCCAGTGCCTGCGACGTCTGGCAGGGAGTAGCGAGCATTTGCCCTCTGGTAGGGGCATCAGAAGTGGGGGCCAGGCCTCACCTCCTCAGAGCCGCCTCTCAGCTTCCCCACCTCCCCACGGATTCTCACCAATGCTTTTCCGATGATATCTGGCGTCATCACTCACACCTATTTCTCAGAGAGGTAAATTGAAGCTGATTGCAGCTCACTCCTTCCCTTAACCCACCCCCAGCAGTCTCAACCCTACTAGCTGATTCACCCTGCTGA